GCTTGGTCTGGCAATGAGTTGGTCATCCTCCTTCAGGGTCTACTGGACAAATGCACGTGTTGCAAAACCACCGTCACGACTGGCACGAGCCGTCTCATTGACCTTTTCGCTGGCTCAGTCAAAGGTCTGATTTGTGCATTGAGATGAGACAGTCTTTCCAGCTCTCATTTCCTGAAATGAAGTGCGTTGGTGGGACAACATGACATTGGAGGGGGGGGAGTTTTGGGGTTTTTTTTTAACTGATTCATTTGGCTTTTTTTTATCTACTAAAGAGACAAAAAATAAACACATGCTGTTTCCTTATGGTCCCTTCTTACCATTAGGAAAACTGCAAAGATATTGTCAAGAAGCTTCTTTCCCGATTTCCAGTTTTCCCACTCCCGCTCTGACCTTGTCTGTGAGTAGTTTCTCTGAATTTACACTTCCTTGGATTCATAGTGTTGTAAGCTTTCTTCCTGCTATGCAAAAGCACTTTGCTGTGCTTAAGCACTTCTGTGGATTGTGCGTAGAAGAAGAATGTAGAATGAAAATTACACATTTAGAGTGAAGCTGATCATATTTCATATTAGGACTGCAGTTATATGTAATTTTTGCAGGGCTAACAAATGCTAAATAGCGATTGCTCCGTGGTTTGTAGATGTTAAAGATGGTTAAGACGTCATTATAAATCATATGTTAGAACGGCAACTGCCAATTAAGAGAGTAACATGTAGCTACATGTAGGAACGTTGTATTAACCCTTCATGAACTATTCCCAAAGTACTGTTGCTATACATGATACTCATATTTGGACTGAGCTTAGAAATAAGAGAGGAAACTAAAACTAGATGAAGAAGGGAACGTTTTTTCAGTTTTCAGTAAGGAGTTTTGGTGATATTTTTTCCACAGGTGACAAATAATTTCATTTGATTAGTTTAGAAAAAAAAAAAAAAAAGGAAAAAAAAAATTAGGTCATCAGAAGGAAAATCCTTAGATTCATTAAGACTGCATGGAAGTAGAGTAAATTTTGAGACTGATAATTTAACTGCAAAGAGTCTCGTTGGGAGTGTGCAGATGGCTCAAAGGCTTTGAACTTGCAGTCTGAAGGTGGTGTTCCTTTCCTACTACGCCCTGCCCCTGCCCCTGCCTCCCCAGTGCCATCCCGTGGTAGGCTGTGTTTGTAGACAGTAGACTGTTCCAAGCTGTGAATGTAGAAACGTCAGAACCTTGGATTTTCAAAGTGCTTGTCATCCTCTTGACCCCCTTCTCCCTCCCTGCCAAAACAAACAAGGTTCAAAACAAAAACCCCCTGAAGGGTGATCATCTGAATTAACGTTCTTGGATAAATCATCCAGAGGAGTGGGAAAATGTTCCCTCGGTGACATAAAATGGGTTCTGTTACAAAGTTAGGGACATGTTTAGTAAATCTCGTCTCAATTTAAAAACCATCACGGCTGCCGTTCCTGAATGCCAACACTCTCATTTTTCACACTGAAACATAAATGACTGTACATTAATGCAGCAACCTAATATTGCAAAGCTTAGATGTTTCCGTCATTAATAACATTAGAGATAAAGACAAGTGACTTCTTAGCCTCTTGATAGTTCCAAGAATTAACCAAATTGTAGGACTTCAAATTTATTAACAATTGTCAGATTTGAATTACTTTTATTCAATTAACTAACTCAAGGATGATTTTCAACGTAAATGATGACCTTAAACACAATCACTGTGGAAAGGAGAAATGAGATGTGGGTAAATGGCATATTATTACATGCTTCAGCATCATCTTGAGTTTAATAAGTGAAATTTAAGTTGGCGAGAGAAATGTTTCACTAACAAAAGGGTTTTTTTCTTGTTACTTTCAGACATAATACATGCTTCTTCTCTGGCAAATAGACTGCAGCAGGTTGGTGGCTTCTGCAGTAGCTGGTCCAGCTGTGGTCCAGGTCACCTTTCAGGGATCTGCTTGTATTTTAAAAATACCAACTTCAGGGGGCTTAGAAGGCAAGATACCTTCAAGGGTTTGGGCCATTAGTCTCCTCTCCCAGTCCCTTCTCTGTAGGCAGGCAGGGTTGTTTTCAGAATGTATGTTCAAGATTGGCAGGTGCCAAATGATGAGGGGTGGGGAGGTGGGAATGGTGAGGGAATATAAATGCCAAAGATTATCCAGCTGATAGATAAAGCCTCAGGATTTAACTAAATAGAAATTTACTTTGGTACATAACAGATGTCCAGATGTCCTTTGGGATGAATTCATTTATTTAAATCCTATCTGTTTTAATGAAACACTTTTAAAAAGCTGGAATGAAACCTGACTTAAATGCCCACTGAAATGTCTGCCAAAACCCAGCTGCTTGACAAGGGTGGTCTAACAAATGTGCTTCGAAGTAGTACCCAGTGGTTGATAAATGCTTTGGTGCTGCCTTTAGTAGACGAGAGCTTAGCAGCTGCGGGTTCCTCCCTTGTGCTGCTGCTGCCCTGTTTTCTAGAGCCACTGAATATCTTAACAGGCTGATCTTAAGAACAGTTTGGTGCTACTCAGCTGGCTGAAGTTATGAGAAGCTGTAGGAAAAATCTTAAATATGCTTAACTGTGTTGCAAGGCATTATGAAGAAATAGGAAAAGATGATTAAAAGTTGTTTTTCACAAGTGAGGTTATTCCTGGCTTATACCAAAATTATCACAGTGATACAGCAACAATGGCAGTGGTACAGGCAGTTTGCCATAGGTCTCAGGAAGTTAGAGTAGGAAGTATTTTAATTTTTTTTTTTAACTTAAAATGCTCGCCATTTCGTATTGATTGTTTTCAAGAAATATTATGGCCTAAAAACCAAAACCTGGCTAGCTTAAAAATGTAAGCGCTTTTCAGCAAAGTGCTAAAACAAGAGAGAACTTCTTAGTGTTTGAGCAATTTCATGCTTGGCATCTAGGGTTTCGGGTATTTTCCAACCACTGTAAGAATTGTTTTTCAAAACTAGGATTTTTGTTCGTGAGTTGCTTGGGTTTTGTTTTGGAAATGCTTTAACTGTCTGTCTTAGCTGAAGACAAGGAGTCAGATACCCTCTGATGAACATTTTACAGCTGTCTTTTCAATCCAACGTGCAGTTTTTGTTGCACTGGAACAGGAGAGATGGAAGGGAAAACCGCTCTCCCGCCCACTCAGCTTAGGGTGAGCTCTGTGTGTCTGACCCTGGTTGCGTACTTGTCATCGCACAGGTTTGTCTCTGTGAGTGCTGGTGGCACAGAGAGGAAGCAAGAAGCTTTTGCATGTGGCCCAAGCTTGAAAACTCCCTGTGTTGTGGAGACAGGTAATGAGAAATCAGGGCGCTCATATGGCGATCCCTGACTGCTCTGACAAATGCTGCTCAGCAGCAGAGGCTTTGTTTCTTGGCTGTATTTAGAGATTAATTATTTAAACAAATATGGCATATTTAGAAGCTGTAGGAGTTTTCAAAGAAGGCTGCATGGACTCAGAATCAAGCTGATACAATAGAGGGGTGGGGGTATTTTATTTAACTTAATTTCTTAGAATTTACTGAAGAACAAATGCATCTCTTATTACCTGATGTAGACTTGTCTATCACTGAAAGAGGGCAGATAAAGACATTAAAGGTTGTATTTTCAAAAGTCCCTAGCAGTAGGCATAGCTGGAGGCAGAAGGAGTTTAATTTTATTTTTTAAGACCTTTAGAAAATATGAATATAAGTGTTCGCTTAAGTAGATCTCTTAGATCGTCCAGACTACTTCCCAGCACAGAAGGTGAAAGAGATTCTTTTTTTCTCTCTTTACAGTTACGCCTACAAAACTGTGACCATATATCTTTCCTTGTCTGGAGGCAGTATTTTCAGTGACTGTTGAGGAAGAGAAAAATACATTGAAATACTGATAGAGGAGAAATCCATTGTCTAGGTTTTGGGAGATCAATACCCCATACAACAATTTCAAATGCATATGTTCTGAAAGCAAAAGGAGAGGAAGTGGGGAGAATGAGCACTGACAGAATCTTTGCTAAAGGACAAAATACCAATTCTAAAATGACTCTGTTAGCTACTGTTGACATAAAGTAGATCCTAAAATGCAAAGACATACAAGGCCTTTTGGCTGCAGCCGCCGTGACACCAGAGAAAGTATTGCATTAGCAAATCTGCTGTTGTGTCCTGTGTAACGTAATAAATACTGCTTTAGGATGTGTCCTCGTTGAGGGGTTAGTCCCCCGCTGCTGCAGATTTTGCCTTAACCTGACCCTTTCCGCAGAGTACAGAACCCGCTGCCCTGGCTTCGAGCTTTCCGCAGGCGCGGGTTGCGGGCACAGCCCTGGCCCAGCGTGTAGCGAGGGTGCTGGCTGATGGGGCTGGAGAGCTGGCGGGGCATCGTACGATGAGCACCTTGAGTACTGCATTCTTCTCTAACTGCCTGCTCTTCCTGTACTGAAAGTTGTTGGCTCAGCCTTCTAGTCCTCCCTTTTCTTGCTGGATTTCTGTTGCCTTTCCCAACATTTGAACAGTCTTAAAAATCCTCCTTCCAGCTGCCTAGAACCTCTGGGACCGTTCTTACTGCTGGTGTGTCATGCCGTCGATGGAGGAACCGCTTGCTGTAGCACACATGAGGGAATATACATTCTGCTCTAAGTACAGCGCAGGGCAGGAGTTTCCCTTTTTATTGCAGCCAAATACAACAAAGAAGCAGAAGTTGTTTAATCTTGAGCTCATCGGCGCAGTTTCGTCTTGCAGTTAGTTACTCTGTGTGTTTGCATGTGTGTGCACGTGCCATCTTTTTGGTAGGCGAGCTTTTCTTGTGTTTGTTGACAGTTGCAGTGAGAATTGATATTGTACTTATGATACTACTCATTGATTACCTTCTGCTCAATCAATTCCTTGATGTGGTGTTATTTGGCAAATAACAGTGACGTGAATTTAAAAAAAAAAACCAACAAACTTTTGTAATCTCAAATGAAATTTGTCTAGAGGACTACTATATGGGCAAATGCGCACATTATTTACCACCAAGATGCACAGATATGGCGCTCCAGTGCCGCGATCACGCTGTGAGGATGTTTCATCTAGCTAAAATTTTGCAGCGTATAAGTCATTATGATAATTCCTCTGAAAATGAAAGATGTGAGCATGTATATCTATTTAATTTCCTTTTCTGAAATGAGACCAATTATTAATTGTTCACATTCTAGTTTTCTACTGTCTGCCAAGGACAGGCTTCTACCTACTCCAGAAAAACATTGTCAGCGTTCTGTTTTCCACTTTGTACGGTGCACCACACACCCAGCCAATGTAGGGGGTGGTCGAACTGTTGTGGTTGCAACCATCTTCTCATTTCAGTCTCCCAAATGTTGACAGCAGTAAACATCTTAAGTATCTTTTGGCTATATCATGCTGCCAGCAAATTCTGATCTATGATCCTGCAAACTCTTTGTCAGAGGTATAAACTAAGGAATTGGCATTTGGATAAAAAAGTAGGGCTTGCATTGAGGAGGAGGTATGTTCTAGTTAATCTTCGGATAGGAAATATCTGCATTGTTGGGCTGCCTGTTTATTTTTGGATTGGGTTTGCTAAGGCTGTTAGATGCTTTGAAAGCAATTAGAGCTGAGATTAGACATTTGTCACTAAGCAGATAGATTTATAAATAAAAATAGTTATTAGGTGTCTGAGAAGAATTTAAATAAAACCTTAATTAAATGAAGAGGAAATGCATCTTGCTGAGGATGATATGCCTGTGAGAATAATGGTTTCAAAAAAAGCTTGAGAGCATCTAAAACCAGTATTTGGGCTAGCGTCGAGTCTGCTTTTCCTGGAGTGTTACCTGCCATCTTGGGCGAGATGCAGGGACTGAAGCTGGGATCACCACGGCTGAGACCAAACCATCTGATTCTACACTTTGTAGTTATACTAAAGAGCAAAAATCCTTCAGTCAGAGGCTGTGTTGGGGTTGTGTCTCTGGTGGCACATGGGAGGATCTGTCGAGCACATCGGCAGGTTACGTTAGCACCAGATTCAAAAGGAGATGTTGGGAGCAAAGGTTTACGTGTGGCTGCTGTGACTGACGTAAGATTGAGTTGGTCGGGGCAGACACTGATGCAGGGCTCGTGCCAAATACAGGCTCTGCCAAAGGGCTCTGACTCTTGAAACCCCTTAGTAGCGTGGATAGTTGCACGCCGCAGCAGCTTGCACAGGAATGGGGTGGCTCTTCCATCCTTTGTGGATTTCAAATAAAGGCCACTCATCTTCATGGAATGGGCATCGTTGCAGAAATTGTGGGTCTGTTGTGGAAATATTTTGGGGAGGATTCTTGTTTTATGTTCTGTCTGGATGACTGTAACTGTTCTTTTCGTGCCTGAAGCCTCTAAATCTAATCAAGAAGTCTAAATGATTTTGTAAAGCCTTGGAAATGCAACTTGAATGCAACCTAATGGCTGAGCGGACCAAGGGAAAATGTGAAGTGGTGTTTGCTGCCCGAGTCATGAGCTTTGTAAACTGGGGTCTGGCAATACCGTGGACATGCCCAAGCACCGCTTAAGTTTGCTTATTTTTCTCATGTCTTTCTCACTGAGGACTATTTTGAATAGACTGTGCAGGAGCAGTGCAAACCTTAGAGGTCTCCGTAGATAGAAAATAAGAAATGGGCTACAGAGCACTAGCTCGTTTCCTTCCAGCAGTCATTCTACCACTGATGCTACTAGGGGAAGTTATTCAGGGCTGTAAATCTCCAGTAACTAAACAGCTGGTACTACAGGAACGTATAGATACGTTCTTCTCTTCCTTATAGGCACGTTGTGAGGGCCGTTGGTGTTGGTACTGTTTGCAAAGTCAGCGTACTATGTAAATACTAGTTACTGTTGTTAATTTTTAAGTATTTGTGCATGGAAACGAAGCGGTAGGTGGTAGGCTGAAAGGCTCAAGGCTAAAATTCCAAGAGTACTTGACAGTGTGTGTGTATATATAGACTTGACATATATATAAAAAATAATCACAACTCTTAGTATTAACTACTAACTTAATTAGACGTGTACGGATCCTACATTGTTGTGGAAGAGGAACTATAGGTCCCATGACACAAACTTACTAGTACGGACAATTTATCTAGGTAACTCTTGGTGAGGTGGCGGGAAGCTCTGCCGTTGGTCGAGGATCAGCTGAGCACTTGGACCATTTCGGGTTTCAGCTGTGTGCAGAGATCGCCTGCCTCTCGCTGCTCTGAAGAAATGGAACCAACCCACAAACAGGCGTTTTCATCCTCTTTTATTCTAGGTGGGTTTTTTTTTTTACCTTTTAGAGTCACTTATTTAGATTAAAACTTTCCCATTTCTTCGTCTTTAGCAAAGGTTCAAATATGTTTTTTTTTCTATTTCATCAGAAAATTAAAAAAATGAGTGTGTGTGTGGCATTTATGCTGTTGAGTGAAAACTTGCTTGGTTTTAGCTCAGGTACTAAAGTTTTCTCTTTTGGAATTTGGGAAATTTTCCATTACAGTATCACAGGATTTTTATGAAAACAAAATTATTTAAAACTTTTTGTAGGGATGTGGGGTTTTTTGGTCTCAGTAAATATATGGCAGTAGGACAGCTTATGGCAAAGCTGCTTCAGCTCTCGTAGGATCAAAGGATCCAGGAAAAGACGTCCCCTGAACATTGGTACAGTTTTTTAGACATCCCTCTCCTCAGTTCACTCTCAGATCTGGCAGAGTTTCAAATGGACTCTTCCTGGAGAATTATCAACACAAGGTCTAATAACTGCACACTTTAGCTTTTACCTTTATTAGGAAATTATATAATGAATAAATATGAATATTAGCTAAAATGATACTGACTGTAATGCAGACGTAGTTAATAGAGATATGGGAAAAAGTACTTTCAACGTCATTTGTGATAATTAAGTTCTGAATCTTGTTTGAGGGGGAGGTGTGTATTGCTGGCCAATTCAGGGTAAAAATATAGTGATTAATTATGATATTTTTCTTACAGAAATCAATCTCTGATCTATAGATAGCAATGAATTCTCCTAACAGGGCAAACCAAACCAGTTTTTTTTTATTCAGAAGCTTTGAGATGTTGTGGTCTGGATGCAGATATAGGGGACGAAAAGTTTCCTTCTATAGATTGTTTTGTGGATTTTTTCGTTTGTTTGTTTTTTAAATTGAGTTGAACTACTTTGCCTGTTCTGTGTCCCAACCCTTTTGCTCCGATGGGGATCCTGGACGGCACCAGGTGCTGGGCAGGGGTGACTTCACTTGGAATGGATTGCAGCAATGGTCTCTCTATCTGAGCCAGGAATAAGGAACTGACATTTTTAAAAGAGCTCACAATCTGCTCTTGAGTTTCATGCAGTTTTCCTTTTTGTTATAGTAGCGGAATTATGAGTAGTAGCACACAGAAACCTCAAGTGATAGGGGCTGTAAAATGCTAAGCGAGGTGCTTGTTAGTCATAAGGGGAAATATTTTAAGAATATTTAAAAAAATAAGTAACACAACATTTAGCTCATGACAGACTTTATAAAAAGCACTGCCACCATTTTGGCATCTAAAGTCAAGATTTGGGCGGGGAATTGTTTTCAAAATACTGGATGTCAGTGTAGCACAGGGAGAGGAGGGAGCGGCTGGACAGACAGCACTGATATGCGAGCTTTGGGGATATGCGAGCTTTGGGGATATGCGAGCTTTGGGGATATGCGAGCTTTGGGGATATGCGAGCTTTAGGGGTAGGTGAGCTTTAGGGGTAGGTGAGCTTTGGGGGTAGGTGAGCTTTGGGGGTATGTGAGCTTTAGTTTAAAAATGTGAAGGCACAGTACAGTGCTGCCCTCTGAGAAGGCTGAGTTTGCCTTGAACCCAAGAATGGTGCATTTGTGGTTGTGTGGGGCTGCACCGAGGCTTACGCTCTGCTGCCTCTGGCTGATGGGGCCGACCAGAACCAAGCCGGAGCTCCGGGCGTGCTGCGCTTGCTCCAGACCCCTTCGACATCTTTCTGCTGAACTGGGTGCGAATTGCTTCAAGCCCTAGTAGCTAGCCAGCCACATGGCAGGGGGGGGGGGGCCCGCATGGCAGGCGATGAGGCGCCGTGGCAGTGACGCGCCCTGGGTCCCACCGCGAGGTCTGTGCCTGAGCTCTGCTGAAATCCAGAGCAGCGCTCTGGGCTGCGAGCGGTCTCTGCTTCGGAACGGGGGAGAGCGGCGGGAGAAGCCGAGTTCAGGACCAGAAAGGTGTCACTAGTTCTGCAGCTTCGGTTCTGCCTTGTTTATCAAACTCGCTGTTTGTCTGACTAAGAAGGACTTGGATGAAAAAAGAAGAAAGAAGCTGGTCTCAGTGTGTTACGTTCGGATTTGGTGCATGCAATGAAATGCCTTTTGCGTGCGTTGGTTCGTCTGCTTCCTGCCCCCCCGCTCCCCTGCACGACTTTGACTTTTAATCTGCAAACATTCCTTTTGCTGTTCTCACCCTGTGAATACGAGAAGATAAAACCAGTTCCAAATCTGCCCGAGAAAAATATACAGGTCGGGTGGATTAGAAAAAGATCAGGTTGCCAAATCCCCGGGGAACAGGTGTTTTGTTTGGTGTTTCACGCTGGCTGCCGGGAAATCCACATTAGAAACATTTAATAATCTAGGGAGGGCGAAGGGGGTCCGCAGAGCGATGATGGTGGGCAAGGCAATACTGTGTCTTTAATTTTCTTTTCTGAAGGAAGAAAGTCTGCATAGCAATGACAGGATCACTTGTTCGTGCCTTTAATGTGTGATCTGTTTTCTCCAGTGGAGGGCACTCAGTGTATCACAAACTAGAACATTAGCACCAACAAGCTCCAAAGCAGCATCGCTCTCTGGAAAGCCTTCCGAATTAGACAAGAGCTGCCTCTCAGCACAGCTACAAAACACTTTAAACCTGACCAGCTAAATGGATAAACCTATCCTGCGTAGCTTTTAAACGGGGGTCTTGCGTAGCACGGGAGGCCTGCCTGCTTCAGGAGCTGGGGAGCTGGAGGATGGATTGCGCTGCCTGGCAATGGCAAAAGGCAGCAGAATGAGAAATGCTAGGTACCGGGAAAGATTTTTTTATTTCTCCCAGAGAAGTTGGTTTACCTTCGTGGTCTGCTATAGCTTTTACTTGCTGATTGCCACTTAACGCTGGTGGTTCTCTGATGACTTACACAATGGCTCTCAGAGCTTAGAGTCCCTCCCTACCCCCCCACGCTCCCCCCCATCCTTCGTCCTGTCTTCCCCACCCCCAACCCCTTCCCTATCCTTTCCCTTCCTCATCCCCAAAATTCTTGCTTGTCCTCTCTAGGGAACTTTGTGTGGGTTACTGGCATGCACGCTGGATGGCGGTGATGTGAGTGGCAACCGTGCTGTGACATGAAGATTCTGATGGTTTAAAGAAAAGAGATCGGTTTTTGAAAGAGAGGGAGAGGCAAAGGGAAAGCAAAAAAGGAAAGAGAGAAGAAAACAGCTGGAGAAAGGAAAAGGAGGACGCTTGTTGATGACAAAAGGATGGGTAAGTGAACTTTTCTTGTTTGTTTGTTAGCACAGCTGCAGCTGTATGGTATATTTTTCAGTTGGATTATTGGCTGTTCAGGAGGGGGAAACAGTCTAAGCAGCAGCAGTGCATTCCTTTGCCAGGTGACTCACTGTACTTGCTATTGTATTTTTAGATCCTGTATTCCCCCCGACACACGCACATACACACCTTTCCTCCTGCAGTGGTTTTATATGTAATTAATCTGTAAATGCATGCACCAGGTTAAGGACTGTAGAGAGTACGTTCGCTGTCTGTACAACCCACCCACACACCTGCAGACGGACAGATAAGTGCATGTATGCATGAGGCACGCTCACCCAGAATTTCTTCTGGGTTTATATTCATATTCGATGAGCCTGTAGCGGTATTATTCAGGCTGTCAGAAAGGACTGTTAACACTTTACAGTATGTGGGAAGCAAAGGGGAGGGGGTGATTCTGTTGTCTAGGTGGTTTTGAAAAGGCTTGTTTGGTCTTTGAAAAGATACCCCTAATACTGCTGCTAGATTTCCAGCAGTCATTTGCCAGTCTTATTTTTTCAAGTGTGACAGGTTTATTTCCCTCCCTCCTTCCCCCCAGCCCCCAAGTCTGTAACAGCCAGCACATATTTCTAGCTGGCTGCTGCTGGCACATAGGCAGCAGCAAAAGATGAGGATTTAAATTAAAAATCTAACTATTAAAGTGGAAGGCAGAGATGCGTAGTTGGGGGCATTTTAGATTAGGAATTATTTTGCAGATTGCCCCTTGGTTTAAAATTGGATTAAATAACTGCAGCCCGGGGTTGGTTGTGTCTGTGTGACAAATCATAAAGTAATGATTTATCGAGGAGTTACCGGCCCTTAAAAGATTCCCTGTTTGAAGAATGCATTTTAATTCTTAGCGAGATTGCAACTCTGGACAGAGGCACCAGTCCTAAAATTATTACAGGCTAAGGAACGAGCGCGTATGTATGTTGGATTTTTTGCCAACCCCTCCGCCCCCTTTCATAATTATTCAAAGAATTTGGAAAATGCGACTGTCTTCACATAGCAGCATTACTACTATATGATAAATTTGACATCTTGGATGCAAAATCTTAAAATCAGGATTACTGTGGAAGAGAGAGGGGAGCTGAAATAGAAATATACCCCTTTAAACTTTCTGTGGTTTGCTGCTCCTAAAGCAGTGTTTATGTGTAAGGATTTGTGTGTATATTTTCGTGGAGTATATGATGGATATACAAAATAATAAATGCTTAGGTATTCACAGCTACCTGTAGATAACTTTAAATTAATATGTGTTAAGACTATGAGTCATTTTAAAGAAATATGTCTTCTAGTATTGTCTTGGTATTGAGGTCCCATACTAGCATTATATGGTATACTTCTCTATATGGTTGTACTTTGTTTCTGTGCATCTATTTATATATTTTAGGTACATAAAAAGAACGAGTAAACCTCCCCTTAAAAACAAATCACTCGGTGCAAAAAGTAAAGCCTTTACTCACTGTTTAATTTTACAATAAATACACATTTTAAAGAGGGGTCAAAGTTTATGATAAGTAGATTTCTCACTTTTTGCATGAATTTTTGGAGGAATTGGACTTGCAGTTGCTTTTATTAAAGAACACATTTAGCAGCACGTAAATACCAGAAGCTTTGGCTCATTTCCTCTCCGGCACTGTGGAGCATTCAGCACAGTGACTTGACAAATATGTTTATTGTTAAAACCTCAGCATCTAGCGATAAGGATATACCAGCAACATTGAGAGATGATGTACAGGAGAAAAGCAAATAGAGAACAGGCTCTTGGTCCTTCTGAGGGATCATAAATCACACAAAAGTAATTGAATAACAAGAGTAGTACTGGTGATGGTGTGGGTAGGAGAGATGGCAAGCCAGCAACTCAAAGGACAGGCATTTACACAACAAAAAGTGCAAGACAGGAGGCAAACAGGTTGCCTTCAAAATCCACTGCTTCACTAACGCTTTATTAGAAACCCCGTTGACGTTGGTAGTCTGTTGGCGATTTATTTTAATAGCTTTACAATGCACATTTGTTTTCTTTTTAATATTGTAGGTTTCCATTTAATTAAGCAGCTGAGAGGCATGAGTGTGGTGTTAGTGCTACTTCCTATGGTGCTGTTTGTTATGCTTGCGGGGGCTCAGCGAGCTTGCCCCAAGAACTGCAGATGCGATGGCAAGATTGTGTACTGCGAGTCTCATGCATTCAGAGACATCCCTCAGAATATTTCTGGAGGGTCTCAAGGCTTATCGTTACGGTACAACAGCATTCAGAAGCTTAAATCAAATCAGTTTGCGGGCCTGAATCAGCTCATATGGCTTTATCTTGACCATAATTACATCAGCTCCGTGGATGAGGATGCATTTCAGGGGATCCGCAGGCTGAAGGAATTAATTCTAAGCTCCAACAAAATTACCCATCTGCACAACAAAACATTTCACCCAGTCCCCAACCTCCGCAATCTGGACCTCTCTTACAACAAGTTGCAAGTGTTGCAGTCTGAGCAGTTCAAGGGCCTTCGTAAGCTCTTGATCTTGCATCTGCGGTCTAACTCGCTGAAAACTGTGCCGATCCGAGTTTTCCAAGACTGCCGAAACCTTGACTTTCTGGATTTGGGCTACAACCGCCTGCGGAGCTTATCCCGTAATGCTTTCGCTGGCCTTTTGAAGTTGACGGAGCTCCACTTGGAGCACAACCAGTTTTCTAAGATCAATTTTGCCCACTTTCCACGCCTCTTCAACCTTCGCTCGATTTACTTGCAGTGGAATAGGATCCGGTCTATTAGCCAAGGGTTAACGTGGACTTGGAGTTCCTTGCACAACTTGGATTTATCAGGAAATGACATTACAGGGATAGAGCCTGGGACCTTCCAGTGCCTCCCCAACCTGCAAAAGCTGAACCTGGATTCCAACAAACTCACCAACATCTCTCAGGAGACCATCAATACATGGATCTCGCTCATCTCCATCACTCTGTCTGGAAATATGTGGGAATGTACTCGAAGCATTTGCCCTCTCTTTACTTGGCTTAAGAACTTCAAGGGAAATAAAGAAAGCACGATGATATGTGCAGGCCCTAAACATATCCAGGGTGAAAAAGTGAGCGATGCCGTGGAAACATATAATATCTGTGCTGAAATCCAGGTGGTGGTTACTGAAAGATCCTACCAGGCACCCAAAACCCCCCAGAGACCTGTCTTCATTCCTAAACCTACCATTTCCAAACTTGAAAGCAATCAGCCAACATCTGCTATGCCAAGCCCTTCTGCAGACCTCCCAACGCCTGGAGTAGAACCAGAGTACGAGCACGTTTCCTTTCACAAAATAATCGCTGGGAGCGTGGCCCTCTTTCTTTCCGTGGCCATGATTTTGTTGGTTATCTACGTGTCGTGGAAGCGCTATCCAGCCAGCATGAAACAGCTCCAGCAGCACTCTCTCATGAAGAGGCGCAGGAAAAAGGCCCGCGAGTCTGAAAGGCAAATGAACTCCCCTTTACAGGAGTATTACGTGGACTACAAGCCAACAAACTCTGAGACCATGGATGTATCGGTTAATGGATCTGGGCCCTGCACGTATACCATCTCTGGCTCCAGGGAATGTGAGGTATGAACCATGATCCTCCTAAAACCATTTCAGCTGCTGGGAAGGAGAGGTAAATGTTTGAAGCTCTTGAGGTATCTCTAAACACTAGAAAGATTAATGAGATTTTTTTTTTTTTTGCTTTTGGGTTTGCTCAGTATGAAAGGTTATCTCATTAAATAACAACAGTCAGGGAAGTGGTGGTGATTATTTTGAGTAATTCAGCCTTATGAAAAAAATAGATTAAGTTGAAGTAAACAACTATGATAAAGGCATCTGGAGTATTATTCTCCTCCTGTTTGCACCTATTTTATTAGCAATGGCTACAAGAGAGTCCCATTTTTAATGTATTGGTAGAAACAGAGGAGTTGAAGAACCTTTTCTGTTTTAAAAATAAACATGGAAATCTCTTTACTCCAGACCCCATGTCAAATCTTGAGGGGTTTATGGCCTATTTAAAGATACTGCCAAAGATTTTCCGCATTTTCCCTCTGGTTCACAAGTAAACCAGGGGACAACAGGGCTGCAGCACAACCTTAGAGTTAGGCACTGGTTTTTCTGGAGAAGCAGGAGCATACAAGCTGCCTTTCTAGCTCTTCGGGACTTGAGCCTTGTAAAGACCCCAAGTCAAGCAGTACATTTGCAAATATCTGGGTTGGGAGAGGGGGATTCTTGGGTTTTCAGTATTCCATTTTAGTGATCAGTGAAGGCTTAGCTTGAGAGACAGCTCTACTGGAGTTAATAGTTTCATGCACTTAAGGCCATGTTATGATTTGAACTCCGCAACGTGGGAAATACAAATAGGAGAAGCTCTCAGCGCTTCTTTCGTCTGTCGTTCAGCTTTGGCAAGAAAATACCGTAATTTTTTATTTCTGTATTGTCAATGACTCTATTAATGTGTATGTAAGAAATGTTTTTACTTGTGAAGGCCGTCGGTTATTTATACCTGGTAAGGAGGATTTGTGCAATTACATTTCAGTACTTGTTACTTAATCCTGCACGTGATGTGGTATTAGGGGGCCATGGCTGATTTTGTTTCCTTGGTCGTAGACATCCTACCTGAGAGTGCTTAATGTGCCTGGTGAAATGTATTCATATCCATTTATGCAAACTGGGTTTGACTCTGGTAGATTTTGACCAATGTCTTTGACAGGCAGCTAGTATGAAAGGTGTGTTAAAGATGAGCAGTGTTGAGCCGGCTGCAGTTCTAGGATCCTGGTTTTTTAAAAGCGGATGTTTTCACTTTCTGACAATAGGGCATCTTTGAGATATTTCATATTTGGCACCTGAAATCCCTAGCTGATTTTGGACCACAGAGCTAAGGGGAAGGAAAAAAAAAAAGTGTGTGTTTTGGGGTTGTCTTCTCTGGAGCAGTGTTGTTTTCAGAAAAGAAAAGCACCTGCTATACCCTTGTCATTTTTACCAGTATCATGTGAATCAAGGTGTGGGGTGGTGTTTTTTTTTGTTTTCTGTTAGCAGCACAAGTAGAAAGTAAGTGATGCTCACGAAGTTATTTTGAATTTTCACTGGCTGTCACAAGGAGCATTAATTTGACCTGAAAGGCTGTCTCCTCTTCATGCTCAAGTTTAACATCGCTGAAGTTTCATTAGCTTGAGTAAAATGCTGTTTAATTTACACCAAGATGATATGGAAGACAGCTGAATCTGCACGCCATAACCAAAGGTCCATGTAATGAAACCATAATCTGTAACAGAATGTGGATCATGATCGTAGCGCACAGAAGATAGGGAGTATGCACTGTTGTTCGGGAGACTGAAATTCAGATCATTTGAATTACGGCAGATAAATAAAAAGTTGAAGAGTCCTACCAGGCCTAGTAACAGGAGGTCAGTGTGGCATCGTTTCTTCATGCTGATGTCGATCGTTACACACAGCATCAAACACGAGGGGACCCCGATTCGCCTGGTTTCCAGGCGCTGTCGCAATACCAGAACAATTTTATTTCGTCACGCCGTTCAGGTGAAGTTGAGCTGGTGCACAACTTTGGAGAACTCAAGCTGTTTATCGTGTTGTCCGTGGGGTTCTTGGTTATGGTGTAAATCAGTAAGACTGTACTGAGCGTGGTAGTGCTCTCCAGGCTGGGGCTGGTAGAAGGTACACCCTGTATTTGCGTGGTGATTTAGTATGCGTTGGCTGTTAGTAGAGATGACTTCAGGAGAGGGAAAACAGAAGATCATTGAAGGCACATGTAGCAACCATAAGCCCCCACTGAAATACTGTCTTCAGCTTGGCTTTAACATTCTTCATCTCCATAGCTACAAGGTTCCACTTGTAAAAGGATAGATATGCACTGTACAGTACTTCAGAATGGTAAGGAAAAGAAACCTTGGAGAGTCTTGAGCAGTGGAAAGGTTTTATGTTTGGGGGGAAAAAACAAATGGAATATCTCGTTACTTACTAATTTACCCAGATGTACATACTTGTGGCAAAACTATTATTTTGTACAAGTGAGACACAGCTCCGGCCTGTCATCCTGACACCCTGGCCTGCTCATGCACTCTGCTCAGCCCGAGGTTTCTCCCAAAAAAGCACCACTTAGAGCAGAGAAGAGTGTCTGGTTATCAAAATGAGAGCAGGCGGGCTTTCAGAATTCATCGCTTACGAGTTTGTTGATTTTACTTTTTTTAGTGATATTTTTCAAATGCTTGTCTGCTTTCACATGTCTACCCCCCTCCCCGGCCTGCTAGCAGCTAAGGTGTCCCAAAATCGTGTGTTTTACGGGAAAGAAAGAATGGCTTAGTTCCATTTTAACCTGGGAAAGATGCCTGACCAGCCTGTGTTGCTGGTAGCTGGGTGATAATGAATGGTTTCTGAGCGTGGCCTAAGGTCGTGTGAGCAGGCCTGTTACGTTCACAGTGATGATTTTGTTTTTACAAGTATCCAGCTCATCTCATCCATAAACCACTTGTTTTCCATGGCAGAACTGGCCTTGAAATAACACGCTTAGGTATTTATGCGGGGCTTTTTTTTCACAGCAGCTATGCCCGTGGGCAGGGGCGGTGTTTGTCGTGGTTTTAAGGTCAGTGAGATTTCTAACATACACTAAAGCAACACAGGCGTACGAGAGCTGCCCTGCGTCGGGTCCGTATGCTGCAAGTAGGGGAGCTGCAGGTACCGTTCGTACGGCTGCTCCTTCAGGTCCGTGCTTTATGAATTATTTCTTGTACTACAGAGAGAGCGCCAAAGTCAGGCTGGCTGTAAATGGGAGCAACTCTCTTGGCATCAGTGGGATTATAATCACTGACACCTGGCCTATGGTATTCTATTTAGTCTATTGGCAGGGGTTTCTAAAATAACTGGATGCTTATGATTTTGGCTCTCACCATCCACTTAGCAGACTGCTGCTATCTCATTTTGGTATTTGCTTTGCTTTGTGCATGTGCATCTTATTCCCTCTCTCTTTCATATTTATTTGTACATTTGCTGAAGATCTGGGAGCCATAAAAAGCAATTTCATAAACCAAGCTATAATATTATGTATTTCATACGTATCGCACACGAAATATCTGTATAGAGCGTGCTATGAAGGTATATGGGGAGAAAAAACATTGCTACAAAAATGTTTCCTTCTTTCTCCTGGAAGGTTATTCATCTCCTGTTTCCTAGGCTGGCAGTTACAAAACAAACAACAACCGACCAAACAAGGGAGCGGCTTTTCCGTGTTAACTGAGCACAGCTGATGTGAAGCCCTTGGAGAGACGATTGACACAGACCCCGTGCGGTTACTTTTTACACTTTCGCTTCTCAATGTCTAACCGTAGCCCAGTGCTTGACAAGCAAGCCCACCTGTTCACATACAAGTACATCTCCGCTGTGATGCTCCTGTGTTTCCCATTGGCGTGAAAACCAGGGCAGTTGTCACTTGTATTCATACATGCTAAATCAGTCACACAAAATTATTCTGCTTCCTCCCCTCTTGCCACTGGGAAGAAATAGATTGATAAAGGGATGCAACATATGCGGACTTGGTGGGCTGCTGTTGACCTCCTCCTTTTGAGCCTAATCTAAAAGGAAATGTTGATAGCCACTGGTGTTTCTTATTTATTTATGAAACACCATTCCTGTGTTGTTTTGAACAGCATGCAAAAAGGAAGAACCAAAATCAGCCCCATGGCCCAGATGCTCTTTAGTCCGAGGTTCCGGTTCTGCGAGGGTGTGCCTGGTTCTGTAACTCACCTTGCACGTTTGGGAGGGCTGCCTGGGGGCTAAGCATGAGCTTGTGGGGTGGTACGACCTCAGGAGCAAAATCGCTCAATGATGTGGCAGAATTTTTCTTTTTTTTTTTTTTTTTTTGAAGAACAGTTGATCATATTTTCTTTGGACATCAGCCTTATGCTTTTGTAAGGAATACTTAGCAAGGACTTCATGGCAGAGGTGTAAGTGCGTTGTAGCTCAGGGGTGCACAAGGAAGGTGATTGCACCGGTAGTGCATTACAAAGAGAAGGGTATGGGAGGTGACGAGTGAGGAGTACAGGAAGCAGTAATTGTTAATTAGGTAGCCTGCTGTCGTCATTCTAGGGCCATTCTAGTGGTGCGGTTGTCTTTCCAGTGCCTCTGTTTTGGAACACTGTCGGATGGGCATTGCTAACTTAGCTTTCTTATATCCTGTGTGCTTTGGCTCCTCCTCTGCGCCTCTTTCTCCACATCTCTGTGCTTATAGATGGACCTTAAATTCTTGCTTGAGTTGTAAACTGAAGGGTGAATCCATCTAATGAAACTCTTGTCATAAGCTCTATATTTGTATTGGGAGAGTAAGCAAAGGCTAAGCTGACAGCGCTTTTCTTCAGTGCAGTATATCTGGAAGAAATATGTCACAAGTGGCTCAGAGGTGAAATCTTTTAGGCACAAGGCCAGTGAGGGGTTTGAGGAGAAAATAAATTTTAGAAATGTCTTCAGGTTTAGGACCAAAGGTAGAAATTTGTGTTTGTTACCATTCAGAGGCTTCATTAGCACTGCGTACCTGTTATTGCAAGTATAACGTCAGTATACAGAAAGTTGTGCTATGGAGG